AATGGCTATATCTACTTGCTTTTGTATGTTGATGATATGTTGATTGCGGGAACTAGTATGGAAATTGTCAATGACTTGAAAAAGAAGTTGTCAAGAAGATTTGAGATGAAAGACTTGGGTGAGGCCAAGCAAATACTTGGCATGAGAATTTCTAGGGATAGCTCAACGGGTGTGTTGAAGTTATCTCAAGAGGAGTATGTCAAGAAGGTGCTTAAAAGATTTAACATGATTGATGCAAAGCCTCGAAGCTCACCTCTTTCAAGTGAGCTCAAGTTGACTAAGGAGGATTGCCCAAAGACAAGGGAAGAGAAGGACAAAATGGCCATTGTTCCTTATGCTTCGGCCGTTGGTAGCATGATGTATGCTATGATTTGCACGAGGCCCGACATTGCTCACGCAGTGGGAGTTGTGAGTAGGTTCATGTCAAATCCGGGTGAGAGACATTGGGAAGCCGTGAAGTGGCTATTGAGGTATTTGTTGGGTACTTCAAGTATGGCTCTTTGCTTTAGGAGAAATGGAGTTGTTTTGGAAGGTTTTGTTGATGCCGATTTTGGAGGATGTTATGATTCAAGCAAAAGCACTTCGGGGTATGTGTATACTATTGGTGGTACGGCCATTAGTTGGATGAGAAAGCTCCAAAAGTGTGTCTCTATGTCTACGACGGAAGCCGAGTATGTGGCTATGTCGGAAGCGGGAAAGGAGATGGAATGGTTGAAGGGTTTCCTTGAAGAAATGGGCATGAAACAAGATGTTTGTGCGTTGTATAGTGAAAGCCAAAGTGCGGTTCAATTGGCTAAGAATCCTATGTTTCATTATCGCACTAAACACATCAAGAGGCGTTATCACTATACTAGGAGTTTGGTGAAGGATGGCACGATGTGTTTGAGGAAGATTGCCGGTTCAAAGAATCCGGCGGATATGCTCACTAAAGCTGTTTCTAGTGACAAATTGAGGTTGTGTAGGACCTCAATTGGACTCCATCATTAATTTGAAGGAGTGTTGTGCTATGGTGAAATTGTTTTGATGAATGTATTAAGTGTTCTTGAGGAAGGAGTGTGTATGTGGTAGTCTATGGTGCATGTTTGATCCTATCTCCAAGTGGGAGATTGTTAGGATTAGTGTGGAGATAGATAAATACATGGAGACATAAGGAGATTGCATAGAAGCTGCCTTATTGTTAAGGTTCGACCAAACTTGTGAAAAGTTCGGTCGAACCCGGTTTTAAGTCAGTAGGTGCACCAGTTTACATTTCTAGAGGAGGAGTGACCAAACCCAAGGAGGTTCGACCGAACCACCCCAGGTTCGACCGAACTCTGGGTAGGTTCGGCCGAACCTCCCTGCTCCCTATTTCGTCGCTTCGTTTTCGGCTTGTGCGATTTGCTTTAATCTTAGCCGTTGGATTGTATTTTCTACCTAGAATATATATACCTTTTCTAAGCCTCTTTGTTGATTATTCACAAACATTTAAACACATAGAGAGGTTTTGAGAGGGTTTGTGAGGAGCATTTGAATTCTATACAATTCATGCTTGTAATTCTTGAGTTCATTCATCATCAATATTACTCCATAGTGCAAGGGTGGGTTTTTTCTCCCGGTTCTCGGGTTTTCCCACGGTAACATTGTCTTCCTTTTACTTGCTTTAATTCCTTCAAAGTTGTTCTTGATTGTTATGCTTGTTTGTTCATTGCTATTGTGGGTTGATTGCAAGTTAGTTGAACACTTTAATCCTTACACTTTTCTTTCCTCTTTGCTATCCAAACAAAGCGTTAGGCTTAACAGCAGGAATGCTTTTGGATGGGCGTCAGATGTTTTGAGAAACGTGTAAGAATTAAGTGAGAAGGAAGTTTTCAAGACCTCCATTATCAGATACGGAGTAGCTATTAGAATTGGTTGGAGCTTTAAATACAGAAAAATGGTGAAGTTCGTAACTCAATCTAGCATTCTATGGTTCAACTAATACTGCAAAACTACGGAGTAAGATATGGATGAAACCATAGCATTTGAAGAAGTAATTAGGGGTTTGATATTGTACTGCATTTATTCTTAATGGCCTTTTGGTTTCTACTAGTAATTGTTGGTCATTCAATTTGCTCACAATCTTTTGACGAGCAGTCAATTCAATTAATAGGATTATTGTATTTGCATAAATTAGATTGGAGCAGAAGCATTAGTTCAAGTATTGTACAATGCTGGTTTTGTTGGATCCTATCATGCTCAAGGTGTTTCTTTTATTGATTTAGTTCTTGAAGTCACAAGGAAGCATGTGTTGCGATTGCTTACAAGGTGTTCGACAAAATGCCTCTATAAATTTTATTTTATCGATAATGTTTCTCATATTTTACCATAAATTTTTAGTTGATACCAAAATTATTAACTTGATACCAAATTTTATCAATAATGTTTCTCATACGATACCAAAATTTTTGAGAGCTATGATGGTGGACAGGCAAAATGCTTTTGTTGATGTTCGTTGGAACTTGCTGGAGGTGGATGTAGTTGGGTGTTGTGGTGCGGAAATATTTAGTTAGATTAGGAACTAAATTGTTTTTTTTTTTTTTTAAATTAGGAACTAAATAAATACATTCACAACAGAATAATTAGTCGATGGAATCTTTAGATTTTTTTTTTTTTTGTTGTTGTTGTTGTTGTTTAGGGAGCCACAAGGGCGGGGGTGAGAATCAATCCCAAAATCTCTTGGAATCGAGAGGGAATCTTTAGATTATTAGTTGATTGTTTAAAATCCCTATCAATCCCTTATGAATGAGCCTAATTTGTGATTTCATCCTTTAAGTTCATGTTCTCTTTACCTAATTTTTGCTGATGTGAAATAATTTTTACTAATTTAAAATTTATTTTATTAAACACAGAAATTTTTACTTAAATAATTTTACTGATTTCTAATTATATTTGTTCTTTAAAGTCACTGATTTTAACTGATTAAAAAAATATATATTAAATTGAATTTATTTTTACAAAACTAAAATTATTTTTAGTGGATATTTTTCTAAGGTGAAGAGAACAGTTCCATAACTAATATCATAGACTTCATATGTTATATATAATCATGTTAGATTGTTCTTATATTCTATAATTGCCATTGATTTTAATGGATAGTCAAACACTTTAATTATAGGATCATTTTTATTTGCAATAAAGACGTCGTTGGTGTTAGCCTTAATCTCCTTTTTTAATTAGTATCATTTCGAATCTATTTGAACCCTCCATTGATTTATTGTAACCATTGATGAATTGTTAGTATCGATAACACTTTAAATTTGTATTGATGAATCAATTGTTCAAATGTCATATCATGATCTTACGCTTCAAATTTTGTTTTTTTTTTTTTTTAAAAAAAGGTACTATTATCAATCTCTTGCAGTAACAAAAGTAAATATTTCAATTTCAACCATTATTAACTCTAACCTACAAAGAATGTGAAGTGGATCAACATATTTCAATAACATATAAAGAGTAACTAGTGTATGGCTCAAACGATGCCTCTAATTATTGCGCGCTAATTTGTACTTGTTTCATTCAATATCAACTACGTGCAATATTAAAGAAAATGAGAGTGAGTGATAGTTTAAGTGGTTAGAGCTTTCATCCAGATTCCAGGAAATCTTAGGATCGATTCTCTTTAACACCTTATAAATTCCCTTCTTACTCCAAAGCCACACAGTGGAAAACTAACTTTCGAAAACTCAAATATATAAAAGGTTTAATAAAACAAATCAAACTTTAAAACCAACTTACATTAAATCAATAACTTGAAACTATTAAAGGCCCTTTAAAAACCAAACTAAAATATCAAAACAATAATTATATGTTAGTGTCTACAATTACATAGATAATTCAATACACTAAATAATAAATAGTGAAATATATAACCCTCTTCGCTCAATCCTATCATGCTTGATGTGCTCCTTCTACTTGTACTTCATTAGTTCAACCTCACTACTCGCCATATAAAATGGGTCATAGTAGGGTCAATTCAAAGAAAAGCCAAACACAACAAAGTACGAATCAGCAAAAGCTGAGTACATATGCACCAATAGGAAAAATCACACTAACATGAATATCCTAGCAATAGGAATTAATAATTAAATAAACAAAAATATTATTGCCATACAACACAAGTCAACTTACCTTTGACTCATGACTCTACTTAATTTATTAATATATAGTTTTGGTCTTTTGGATAACGCATCGAACGGGTTTCCATCCTAAAAAAATAGCACATTAATATATTGAGCTTCCAATTAGGGAGCTACCCCAATTGACACCTACTATGTCACACTTGGTGACGAAATTTCAGCATATTAATAATAAAAGAAAGTACAGCGTCCTGTACCCGTGTAAAAGTTATGGTTAAATATAAAACCCCATAAGTCCTCCCTTACACTTTACGTGATTTACCAATTCAACTTGTGATGACTCAAACCAATCAATCAAGAATAAACATAATAACAATCAATACTTACTTCCAATTCATTATTGAATTAATTAGTGAGCAGATACTATTAATTAAAATTCCTTCTCTATTATTGTGCACAAAATTGTACGATTACTACCTTGGTGCATAAAATGCACTAATAACTTCCTTGACTCAATCTCAACTATGTGAGTGAGTAATAAAATAGTTTCTTGGCTCGGCCTCAACTTATGTTGGTGAGTAAATAAATAAACTTTCTTTGACTCAACTCCAGTAATAAATAGGTGAGAATAAAATCATAAATCATACTCAGTATAATATAACTTTAATTCTTTTCAATAAACATAAGCCTTCATAATTAAATACATGTCTTCTTGATAATGAATGATGTGTTCCCGTCAAAAAAAAAATAAAATAGTGAATGATGTATTCGATTTTGTATAACAATTATGCCATTGGAATACATCATCATAACAGTACGGCTCAAGAGTTTAGCTCAATTAGCAAGTTAAGTGTTGACGAACTCAATAGTGGTAATGTACCTTGCGCAATAATAACACAGGTTGAGTTGAAGATAACAAAGTTGACATCAATTAGTGATTTAAAAAAACATCAAACAACAAATTAATGCAAAAATATTACTGTTACAAGCCTTTGCATCTTTCTGATATAAGATACAATATGTTCTGAATTCTAATAATTTAGATCCAGGCATTACCACAGCTACATTCTGCCAAATCATGAACTAAATTTTCATAGAGCCAACAAAGCAACACAAATCCAAGATCAACTTTCTATCTCAACACGCACAAAATTCGAGGCAGGTAAACGTAAACACGCCTGCCAACCATCATTATCACAGTCCATGATGCCAAATCTAGATATTCAGTACAAGCAACGCCCAAAACTGTAGTCGCCCACGGTGTTGATTCTACTCTTCCCATCTAACATTTCCTACTTATTCATCGTTCTGGTTCTCATCCTTGGCAAGCCTGATCATGTCATCTATTCTAAGAATAGTAATAGCTGCTTCCGTTGCAAACTGGAAAACAAAACATACCAATCGAATTCAATGTGCCATCAGACAGTGACTCGCAAACACACAAATAACACAGACCTTAAATATATAAATAAATAAAATTAATTATAATAGCTGGATATTGATATGAGTTATTAATTCAATTTTGTAGTTTTAACTACTACCTTTATAGTTTTCAAAAAAATAAAAAATAAAACTACTACCTTTATACATGTTCCATACTATCCTTCCCTTGTACTAATATCAATGCATATTACTAACAATAATTTGGTACTTTAAACTATCGTATAAAATAACAGATCAGTGTGAAACTGTGAATTGTTAATACCCTTACGGCCACAGAAAAAGTTTGTACTTAGTTTTTAATTGGTGCTTTTAAACATTTCCTTAACTTATTTCTCTCCCATTATCACACCAAAAATGTCCTAGCTTTTTTTTGGGAGTTATCTCAGAAGAGAGAAACAGGGTATTTGATATTTAGCACATCCTAAGATCATGTGCAAATGCTGGAAATGACAGATATTGAGGAACAGAGGGAGTATGATTTTACAATAATCCTAAACAATTACATTTAATAAGATTAGGATACACAAATAAATGTTGGGTTATAATTCTTACCTGGATAATCTTGACTTTGCTCATTGCTGGCTCAATGACTCCAGCTTCAAGGTTGTTACGTACGGTGCCCTGGTATAGGTCCAATCCCATGCTGCAAACAACAGATTAAATGGAGTGAGACAACAGAATTAAGGACAGTAAATTAGAATTTATTAGTCAACATATTGCAATATTGCAAGATAAAATATAGTTTAAATACAACAGGCATCAATCCTAAAGCAACACCACCAAATACACCAAAGAACAAACCCATGGATGATTAAAATAAATAAATGAAGTTTTTTTTATAGAAAAAACAAAAAAAAAAGCTTAGCATCTTCTAAAGTCATAAATGAAAACTGAAGAAATTTCATCATACTACTGACTTCTGATTCATAGTTAAGATATCTTCATTAAAAATTACAGCCAAATAATCATATGTTAGCTTTCACTAAAATATTGGCTAACTTTGACCATCGGACAGTCAAACCACATTGCTAAGATTCTAGTTAGGTAATAAACGAAATGCCACTAGAATGCACCGCCTTTAGCCAATCATTTCAAATGGCCAAACTAAGGATTGCAACTTTCTAAACCAAGACCCGCACAACAAACCTACAGGAATATTTATTAAAAAAAATATAAATAAATAATAAATAAAAATGAAGGATTCAGTTGATGCCCCTACAACCCTACTAAAAGGAAACTGAATTGATTTACAGTAAAGTGCATAGATAGCAACCAAGCAGGTCAACATAAATGTTATGAGCACCACAGAATCTTAGCCAAAATAGTGAAAATACTCAACTACCTTTGGTTAAAATATGGAGAAATACAAAAGTAAAGAAACACCATCAGCGACAAGTAATCATTACCTGGACAAATGTTGTTTGTCAGCTTTGGTCTGTGCAGCATGATGGTAAGCCCGCAGCTTAGCAACCAGCTCAGTTGAATCCTTAGCAGCGTTCACAGCAAGAACCTGCCAAGATCAACCATGCAATTGAAGCTTACAGATCATAAAAGGCTCAAGGTTTTCAAAATTAAAGAAAATAATACAACACCTTAGGAATAATTAGCAAGGCTTCAGCAAATTCAGCAATTGCCAACTGCTCCCTTGATCCTAATGTGGTAGCTAGGTACTCCAAGTACACAGATAACGCAGCCTCAACAGCCCCTCCACCAGCTACTACCTGAATCATAGAATACGAAAGGAGTATCAATATTTGGTCTTTTCCCTTAGGGAAGAGAAATGGGATATTTAAAGTACAGTTTGTCTACATTCAACACTTGAGCAAAATTCCATCTACAACCCACACAACTCGTTGACAATAAAATAAACACATGGTAAATCATGTTTAAAAACGACCATGCCTCAATAACTACTAACTCAAAAAAATAGGATACAATTAACCTGCTAACAACTATTTTGAAGTAATTACTTCAACTACTGCAGTGTGAAAACATTGAACTTTTCTCACAGAAAACATAGCAATTTTGTGAAACTTCCGTAAAAGTAAATGTAGTAGCTGTAGCCTCCGAAATCAGAGGATTTTGTGAGAAAATAATAAATCTACATACGAACTTTTGTAGAAATCCAAGCCTCAAGGTCAGCTAGGATCTTCGTATTTGAGTTTTTAACTTCAATTATTAAGAACTCTCAAAGAGTTACCCCCCCCCCCCTTTATGTTGAGGCAATTTTTACTAAATTAATCTCGCTCCTGAAATATATGACATTCTTGATCCTTCCCTTAACTAGTCTTCTAGGCTGGAATCATAAATGGGTTGTCTCCTCTAGTCCTCTTTTATCTGTTTTAATGGAACGGAGTATTCAAAATTAGGATGATAGTGAGTCAAGAAAACAACAGCTACCTGCCAATGATACTATTCTAGATATCAGCAAAGAGGCAGGTCACTAATGACTCATATGGAAGAATATCCAAATCCAAGAGGCTAATATTCATCTGCTATACTTACAGTAATGCACATTTGACGCACAGGCTGAAATAAATATCAAAGATGACATGAATTCTTTTGACAACAAAAAAAAAAAACATTAGAATAACAAGATGCAGCAGGCAAAGAGCAGGTCCAAAATAATGAACTAATTGTGTTCTAAGTGAAGTCATATATGTTCCATCCTTAACCAAATAATTTTATGCTAGAATTGCAAGAACTCCATATTACAAAACAGACAGCATACTAAGAAACAAAACCCGTAAAGATCAAATCTACTCCAGAGATATGGTCACCAAAAAAGTTCATTAAACTATGGACTCTTATAGCCATTAAATCTGGGTTCTGAAGTCAGAAGTGGCAGATCAAGACTTACCGCATTTGACTCAAGGGTTCTCTTAACAATACATAAAGCATCATGCAAGGCTCTTTCCATCTCATCAAGCATATAATCATTTGCGCCCCTGAGAACCAAAGAAACCTGATACAGAAAAGGAATAAACTAATCTTAAATGACAGGTATCATATGCTGCAATTTCTCATAATTAGAAGTCAAATTATAAGAACACAAAAAAATAAATGTAATTCAGTTTACTCACCGCACTAGTTGTTTTGGGTCCCTTAATCATGATGACATCATCATCTGCAACATGTTCCTCCACTACTTCTTCTGCTTGTCCAAGAAATGATGGTTCAAAAGTTTCCTCACCTTCCATATCAGCAAAAGTGGAAACCTGAAGCCATAGGCAGAAAATTGATAAGATGAATATTCCTAATGACAAACCAAAACCCAAAATTTCAATATTATAGTGCATCAGTGCATCATACGGACAAAAGAATACAACAAACCCCAAAAGAGAAGCAATCCCAAGGTTATGGAACCCATTTCAATTAAAATGCATGTTTTATGTCACATTCAATATCAGCTGACAACTAATCATATTTCATTCATTTAATAAACCAGAAGCCCATAAATAAGTTTATTTAATCAATACCTTTTACAAACAGAATGACGATATTATAGAAGCAAAATAGGAACAAACAGAAAGAGTAAGAAAAAGCCTCAATATATAACACGGAAAGCTATGTTGACACCTAGATAGCTTGCCTTGTAACAGAAACCAATGAAGAGAGCTAAGAGTATGGTCATTCTATACAGTGACGTACCAGTGTTGCTCCGGTGGCCTTGGCTACATGGCGCATATCATCCTTCCGTACACGTCTAACAGCAATTGCACCAGCCTCTACAAAATACTGGGAAAAAAAAGATAAAAAAAAATCAATAACTGACAGCCATTAAAATAAGCAAATGGTTATAATAATAGTTTAACTTCACAGATTACATTAAAAAAAATATGGCTTAAAGAATCAGGAGTTTCAAAACAATCCCATACTAACAACCCACCCATTCAAGATATCAACACACATTTATCAATGCAGGACATGTAGAGTACAAACCAGTGACAATGATAGTCAGGGTAGAGAGAAGCGACAACAGAAAAACTTCAGTAATTGAGGAAAATAATAATACCTTAAGTGCCATATCATCAATGCCTTTGGTGGTTAGAATAACATTAGCACCAGCTTTTAATAGTTTTTCAATTCGCTCTTTGGTCACATCTGCTTCCCTATAGAGAAAAAAAAAAGGGTCATACCACAAGTCCACAATCAAGCTTGAAGACCATCATTAATCACATCATGTAACAATCAACTGTGTAATGACGAAAAAAATATAAATAGTAGAATATTTAACAACAAAAATGAAGTCAATTTCAGAATTGTTAATGATGTCAGTATAAATGTCTTCAATGTTTTGTCTCCACAAAAGGTTAACCTTTTTCAAGAAGCATACTTAGATCATGCAAATTTTTGGATAATAGCACAGTAGCAATATCAAACATTGACATTCCAGAAGTCCTGGCAGCAAAGGATGTAGTTGGTGACACTAAATAGCTACATGAGGCCATTGGTTTGGTTCTTCCATAGAAAATTGCTGCATTACTGGATTGTGGAACAAAGTATGTATATGTGTAGGAAGGTGACAAGCATACAAAAATTCACTTATTAAAAAGAAATTAAAAAAAAAATAAAAAGCTTTTTTTTTTGTGCGAGAGTATTAAGGAGCTTCAGAATGGTAAAATCTGCTGGGTCATCATAATAGTTTGGAAAAATACATTGGCAATTTTTCCAAGTGAACTGAAAAGGTTTGTTAAGACAAGCCTAAATAAAAGCTCTACTCAGTTTTTGCCGTGGTCTTCTACAAGTATAGCTAAAAATCCTCAAGATTTATGTATTTTAGCTTAAACATTCAGTTCTTATTCCTTATACTTACTAATACAAATAAAGTTTGCAATAAAAGCATTCCTGGAAAAATAATTAGATACATTGATTTCAGATTCAATTTAAAAAAATGTGGTTGTTAAATTCAAATGCTAAGTACTTTAGGCATAACAAGAAAGACCTATACTTTAACTTGGCTGCTTGTTTGATTTTCCTATATAGCAAACAAATGGTGATGTTCACAAAGGCCTTTTTAGTTCATAACTTTTGAAACTTCATAACACTTGATCAAAAGAAAACTGATGACTACAATATCCAATAATGCAAGTATTATACAGATAAATTGAATATACACTGTGCTGGCAGCTAAAGTATGTCAAGCACCTATATTAACAAAATACCTTTGTCGGATTTTCTCAAGTTCTCTTGGGTCATTGACTAACACCTGAACACCTAATTGCATTTTTGTTTTCTGGAGATTAAAATCAAGACAGGCAATTTTTGCTGGAGACACACGGGTGGGCATTCCTTGAGCAGCACGACCTGTGTTAAGAGCATATCCTCTCAACAAATAACTTTCCTTTGCACTTTTTCCATGAGCTTTCAAAAGGTTGATGCTCTAGATCATGAGAAGCAAGTAGCATATCAGAACTGAAGAATATTGACACAGCTATATGCAGTAGAAAAAAAAAAAGGCTTTTAGAACAAGAAAGACGTTGAGTTAGCAAAAGATAAACAAACCTTGATAGGATACTTTACTTCACCACGTGCATTCGTCATTTTTACTGACTGTACTGCATCTACTACCTACTCCATGCATTATCAAAAATCAATACATACATCATGCCAGAGACTTCAAAAAACAATACACCTGCAACTAAATTACTTATATAAAGAAATCAATCATTGCTAGAGAAAAGTTGTCAACCATTAAGGAAAAACATATAGCGACTCATCAGGTGACATTTCATCCTCTCCTCTCCCTCACAAGATAATAAAACCATTTATACTAGGAAGGGGACAAACAGCCTCCCATAAAATAAATAATACTAATACTGTATTTTTTTTCTTAATGTTGTTTAATTTCAAAAATTGTGCCATATTGTCTCACCAACTATGAGGGAGTTTTTTTTTTCATTGCAGATTTGAAAATCTATACTGGTTGATAATATCTGCAGGAAAAGATACTTTGCCATTAAATACAAAGCATGGCATAGAAGTAGGAAAAAAGCAGAACTAGTAGTAGTAATTAATTTGATGTTAAAATCTGTATTGATATTATATTTTGGATGCTGTTTTGGTATTTAGTTGATGATAAATTGATAACCTTTTTTTCCCAATCAAAAGATGAATAAATTGGTTTTCAAACTAAATGCATGCAGATGGCCATGAGCTTAGCCAAGAAACTGTCTACAGAGTAGAGATGCCTACGGTAAATCTATACATAGCCATCAGCAAAGCTGAGGTCATAGAACGAAAGATCCAGGGGTATAATCATAGAAACTGAAGATGTAAATCTCACACAAAGAAGGGGAATAAAGATGGACAAGCACCCAAAGCATTATACATTTTAGAGCTATTATCAAGATCAATTTACAATTTAGAGCTATTATCAAAATATCGCCAAATGCAGTTGAAACATCAAGGTACTTCAAGATTTCCATAGCCTAACATATCATTCAGCCAAAATATAACTTCATCTTATAATATAACGGCTGCATAAGATGACATAAACAAGACGAGCAGACAGCACATCTGTAAAGCTCATATCAAACTTCTTATTAGACAAATGGCTAGGTCAAGTTTGAGGGTTTGACTGTTTTGAGTCCAACAACATCAAGGACATGTAAGTTTGGCATGTTAACTCTTTCATAAATATTAAACCAATCCCATGACGGATCATTATCCATAGAAATAACAGGTAGCATACCAGGCCTGCAAAGAAGTCACTATCTGCTGCTATTAGCTTTGATGACATGCTTGTCTTTGCACAATTTACCAGTGAATCTTTGCCGAGCTTTTCAACCTTCATAAAAGATAAATTAAATTAGAATAATCATGAGCAATATTAAACAAGTAGTAACAGGATCCACACATCACAACAACAACAAAATTGCACTGAGGCAAGGTTTAAAGATGTTCAATTTTACTAAACCACGCCCTAATTGTACACACAACTAACCACCTAATTTTAACAATACAGAAATGAGTTATTACAGAGAAAGAGAGCTAGAGACCTCCAAAAACAAAGAAATTAAAAAGGTGATTTCAATCTCAAAATGGCAATGTAAGAAAGCCACATCATCTGAATAGTTATCAGGAGGCAAATACCTTCACTGCAAGTTTCTCATCAACATATTTGCATGCTTCCCTCATTGCAAGCTGAGAAAGAATGAGACAATAAGGGACACATTAAAAATTCATACTTTACGGATAGAGCATTTATGACCAGAAAAATTGCAATCTGAACATCAAACAACAGGAGATTGATAAGATACTGACCCTAAATCCACTTATTATAGATGTTGGATGAATCTTATTCCTCACCAAATCATTCGCCCTCTGCAGTAATAAACAAGCATATAAAACTCGATGAATCTTTCATCATGGAAAAATCAAGAGTGTATCACACTTATGTATTAAAAATAAAAAAATAAAAAAAAAATATATTGAAGTTAGGCATTGCAACAGGTAGAATAAAAGCTGTTACTAGCTCCAACTCACCTTAAGCAACTCTGCAGCGAAAATAACCACGGAAGTTGTTCCATCTCCAACTTCTTTGTCTTGGAGTTCAGCTAACTCCACAAGTACCTAAAAGCAAATGGAGAAAGCTATGACTAATGTCGTACTAACAAAGGAAAAAAAAACTATAGAATTAAGAGCTTTCATGTACCTTAGCAGCAGGATGCTCAACTTCCAACATCTTGAGGATGGTAGCACCATCATTTGTTATTGTAACATCTCCAATATCATCAACCAACATCTACATTAAGATTACTAACATTAGAGATCCAGTGATTTCTGTAATATTAAAGCTTACTTAGGGGGGGAACAGCAATTATGAAAGGAAAGATACTTGTCGGATGTAAAGCAAACATCTTTTTAAAGGTTAAAGTATATCCACTAAAATTCTAATGTTTACAGGTACATTGCTTTCACCCTTCTGGCTACAATATGAAAATCACTGCAAATCGACAAAGTTAGATGTTGCATACTTTTAGTATCTTCAGCTTTTAAAGGGATGGTGCTAACACTATAAGGCGCCATAGTCTGCCTATTTACCACAATGCAAAAACAGCTAAGCATTATCTTTCTTCTTTCCTTAAAATGCCATCAAAGGCTGTTCGTATAATACCTTACTAAAAGAAAATTTCAATAACAAGTAGATGTATACTTCAAACTAAAAACAAATAAGTTCATTAAACTTCCAATTAAACTTAGCACTACTTTCCTTAAACACACGTCACAAATAAGTGCAAACAACAAACTGTATTAATGCCACATTGATCAATGTTTCATCTTGCCGCTCACCGTACATGTTCATTTACTTCACTTTTCTGTTTTACTTCATCCCTAAACACAACCCTACCTCAAAATTTTTCCATTCACTTCATCTCACAATCACCCATGTCATTAAAGCTTCAATTGATACAAACCACGCCTTCTGCTCATTATACAAATCTTCCTAATACAAACCATTTATACAACCTAAACCTAAACCTGAACCTAAAACAATTTCCAACACTACCCAATAAGGTAAACACAAGACATAAGTAGCAGAAAAAACAAAACGAAGATTGAATCACATACTAAGAAAATAACAAAAAGCTGAACATTTGAGCAAAATACAGCACAAAATCAAATCAGGTTACGAAATCTAAATTTAAAAATGAAGTAAAACCCTTAAATCAAAGTAAAATTCAAAAGAAACCCACTTAAATTAAACCCTAAAAAAGAGAAATAGGCGCAAAAAGATCAAACCTTGTCGAGACCAACAGGGCCAAGTGAGGATTTAACGATATTGGCGATTGCTTGACATGCAACCACTGCACACCATAAAAACACAACACACAAACAAGAGAAATACCCAGAATCAGAAACTGAAAGAAATGCAAAGAATTAGGGCTAAAAACAATAAAAATGAGAATTAAACCGTTTTGAGTGCGAACATCTTGGCCAGATTGGCGGTCACCCAATATATCAGGGGCCGGCATTGTTAATGATTGGGATTACGAGAAAAGTGTAGGATTGAAATGGGGGTTTTCAGGAAGAACGCGAAGATCAGTAGTTGAGAGTGATGAACAGAGGTTTGCCGCAGAGAGAGGAGAGAGGGAAGAACTGCGGCTACTCTGATTATTTTGGTTGGGTTAGATTTTGAAAAAAGAGATGTCTTCGTCGAGAATGTTCAAGCAAAAGCCCAATCAAAAATAGGGGTTATGTTTTGAGAGTCGATTAAATGCAATAAGCCAATAACTCAATAATTCAAGTTTTGGGGTAATTTAATTTTGGAAAAATTGACAGGAATATTATGATCTTTAACCGGTCCGTCATAAATAAAATCACTTTTTGATAATCTCCCAATAAAACCACATTTGCACATGATCTTCCAAAAATAGGGTGAAACCGGTTGGTAACTGTTTTGAGTGTTTTTGTCCCTCGGGAGAGTTACAACACGAAGACTGGTCCGGGGTGAGCTGTACCTGCAAAACAAACGGAGACACCAGTTGGGTGGTGCTCCGCCTCCGACGCACAAGTTAGAAACTTGAAGGGAGAAAAAGGTGCGGAAATTTAGGTAGGGATCTGCTCAGATTCCAAGCTCAGGATGTCTCTATCAAAGAGTAAATGTGTAATAAATGATAAAACGTGCCCTCAAAAAGAGGGACATCTCCCTATTTATAGGGTCTTTGGGATTTGTGCCCCTGATTAGGTCACTGTACCCTAATCAGTGGTGGGTTGCGCTGCTTTGCGGCTTTCTCGGGATTTGGGCCTGAAGGTCGCCCTTTTTTCCCTTATTTTCTGGAGTGACACGTGTCAAGCAGAGATTGGTCCACTTTGGGCCATCCTGAGGCTGACATGTGTCATCCTCTGATTGGACCACGTGGCGGGGTAAAATTACCCTAAACATTTGCCCCTCACAGATGTGACGTGGCACACCACGTGGCATCTGTGACATGTGCCACGCTCCGATTGGTGGTAATTTTACCATTAAAGAGTAACTGTTCACCTTCCGGGTAAATTACGGAAATGCCCTCGTATTTACCCTCTATATATAGCCGTTTACCCTCATAATTTTGGTACGTTTACAAAAAATTTTCTAGAGAGAACTTTGAGAGAGCAGAAGTCATCCGTTTGAGTCAGGCGCAAGCAAGAAAGCTCGTCCTCCAGAGACCCAGCCGGACCCGCCTAGTTTCAGATATCTCTTCAAAAGGTACCGTCTCTGCCTCTCTCAGCTCTTTTTCTTTTTTCACCGCTTGTACATATTTCTTGCAATAAATGGATGCATCACCAACACACACGGCACGGCCTAGGTTAGAGTCCAGCCGGTCACCAGGGACGGCTGAGTCTAGGACTGGGAGTGCCGTCTCGGGGTGTTGGGACCACCCTTTGCCTCGGATTTTGACCAGTTACGTGTCTGTGCAGGACACAATGGCTCGGATAATGCAGACGGCGACTGATCCAAATTACTAGAGCGAAGGCTCAAGCGGCCAAACGCCTGAGGGAGAAACGTCCGGTCAGGGTGACCAGACGGCTCTAGAGAGATCCCCTCCGCGCGCCCCTTCAACCCCTGCTGACTCTTTCTTGGAAGAGTGCGACCAAGGCGGCGACGAGGCCGTCTCTGCCCCCTTGGGTCAAAGTGAGGAGGAGACGGAGAGCGACAGCTCCGCCTCTACCTCTGAGAGTAGTGACGATTTACCCCCGCTTCCGGATAGCGAGGAGGAAAAAAGGAAAAAGTGGAACGAGAAGGATGATCCCTTCAACATCCACGTCTCCTCCAAGGACCGGATCCAAATGGAGGAAAACTTGAAGAATTTTACTAAAATGCACCCGCTTGGAGACAGGTACAGGATCCGGGTGCCGCCTGATAATGGCACCGTCGCTTGGGAGAACGATCAGGAGAACGCCAACAGCTATTTCGGCTGTTATGAGGCGGCGTTCAAGGCTGGTCTCCGCTTTCCCCTTCACCAGGCGGTGAAGGCAATTTTGAGAGGCTACGGCCTCGGAGTCTGGCAACTTACCCCCAACTCTTGGACAAACATTCTGGGGTATGTTGCCGCCTGCGAGTTTCAAGGGCTTAACCCCGACTGGGAGGCTTTTGCTAGCATGCATTATCTTAGCAGAAGCCCAGGCGGCTGGAGGGCGTGGTACACTCTAACCACGCAGCCCCAATATATGATGACCTTGGACAAGGTCTCGAAATTCGACGGCTGGAAGCACAGGTTCTTCCTGATGTCAGCTCTAACCAGACGGGAGAATTATGAATTCCGTCTGTACAATAAGAAGCCCGACTTGTTGGGCCGGAAGTGTGCTCTTCCCCGGGTTTCAGAGGAAGACTTTGACAAGATCATTGAGGCAGACTTTTTTGGCCTCAGAGACGTGACCTTGTCAACCGGGGAGACAATAAAGGTCCCCAAGAACTGGATCCCCAAGAGCGCCTGGTTCAGGGACGAGTGCTTCCTAGCCCCCTGCGGGCTAGGGCACATGATTTCCAAACGTATGCGCCTGAGTTTATATCCATCTATAGTAGCTTTTTACTATAATTGATTTATGATATTGACCAATTTCCTTTTTGCAGAAGAAGCATTGAACTTGTTGCAGACGGAGAAAACCCCAAAGCGATCCTCTGCTGTCATCCGCAAGGCGCTTGCGGAGAAGGCTGCGGCTGAGGTCAAAGCCAAGGTAACAAACGCTTGACCCTTTCATAAGTTGATCTTTTAAAATCATTTTTCCCGGATGCTAACCTTTGGTTATTTTTGCAGGGAGGAGAGGTTGGAAAGTCGTTTGAGAAGCAACTCAAACGAGCTAGGGAGGAGAACCCTGCCGTTCTCAACAAAATCAAAAAATCCACCTCTGCATCAACTCCTGGCGCCTCAGCCGGGCATCAGCAGATGTGGATAGCGGGGCAACTCGAGAAGATATGTGGCAGCATGTGCCTTGATCTTGTCAACCCCTTATCAGCAGCCGCGGGGTTTACCACGCCTGCAAGCGGTTCCCGCTTGGCTGGCTTTGAAGGTAAGAACCCTTTTGAATCCCCGCTTGAGCTGGGGTGGCCTTTGCGGGTGAAATCCCACTCTCAACAGACGTCATCTTCAGACGGCCGACAACAAATAGGTGCTGCCTTAGTTTCGCACTCATCACGTATTGATTGTGGTGCAGATCAATCTCCCCGCTGGCTAGACGTCCAGAAGCACGCCAAGGCCATGCTGGAAGCCTTCTGGAAGAGGGATAAAGACAGTATCCCTGGGATAAAGACGTTTAATCTTGAACGCATTCTATCCCTTCTGGCTGAGGTAAGAAACTTGTCAATTCAATTTTATTTTTTCCAAGTGTTTTATCCCGCCTACAATACTCACACCGCTTGCTTTTCTGCAGGCTATGCTGCGGGTGGACGGGCTCAAACGTCCTTATTCCCGCAAACGGGAAGAGGTTAAAAGGGCCAAGAAGTCCGCCATAGACGCTGACAATATTGCTTTGCACTCAACTATCGTAAATGAACTTGAAACTAAAGCAATCATTATGACACAGGCATCTAGAATCCAGCAGCTGGAGTATTATGACACAAGCATCTAGAATCCAGCAGCTGGAGTCAGATCTGGAGGCGGCCAAGCTGCGGGCTACTGATGCTGAGACGGCCCGGAAGGAGGCGGAGGAGGCCTAGAAGAAGGCTGCTGAGAGTGCCAAAAAGGCTGATGAGGCGCTCAAGAAGGCCCAGACGAACCTTGGAAATCTTCAGGGTGTTTCTGAAGAGAACACCAATCTGAAGACCAAGGTTCAAAAACTGGAGAAGGAGGCTGCTCAGGCTCAGATAAACTTTGCAGCAACCCTGGAGGCGGAGCAAAACCGTCTAGTTGCTGAGAGTGACGCTGATAATGACGCCCGAATGAAGATCGCCTGGGCTGCCCTGTACCTGGATGCGGATTATGGCGTCTGGGCACTAGCTCACAGGTACGCCGAGGACGTGGTGTACCTGAGAGAGAAGGGTGACCCAGAGCCTGAATCCTTCAACGCCTGGGTTAATGCCAACAATGAGCCCCTCTTACCTCAGCTACCTGGTCCGGGTGAAGCGCAGGAGATACCCTCAGATGATGAGGAGGAGGACAAGGAGGAGCCGCCTGCAGGCCAGAAGTGACTTTTCAGCGGCAGTATGCCAATCTCTGTTTTTTGTCTTTTTCTTTTATTCAGCGGCAGTATGCCAAAACTTGTTTTTTCCGGCCTGCGTGCCGAGTATATTTGTATTTACTGGCTAAGGAGCCGGGTTAATTAACAATTTCTCTTTCTCTCGGACGAGGTCCGTTTAACATTTGATCCATCACAACCGTTTGGTTGGGTGGTCTTTATGAAATGCACCGACTGAGTCGGTTTTGATCATTTTGCATTTGAATTTTTAATTTTTCATTTTTCATTTTTGCCCAACTTATCAAAAGCATGCGGCGATTTTTCATTTTTGCCTAACTAATCAATAGTCCGGTTGTCCTTGCCCCTGGACGGCTGTGTGGTTGTTTTCAAGTGGAGTTGGTTGATTGACTTGAAAACGTCTGATGCCGTAAAGAGCATGATATGTTTGCAAGTCAATCAATCACAATAGTGATTGCCCCAAACCAAGTGCACAGCCGTACACCATCAGGCGTTCCAGTCACTACCCAGACGGTAGAGATTTCATAGCCATTGCACGACTCCTTTGCCCCAATTGAGGTAGGAATTGCAATTTTGGAATAAATAACTAAGTGAGATCTTCAACCGGTGACCGACTGATGCCCCAGGGCATTCGGTATTCGGCAACTTGATCATTCTTCACCGGTCATTTTGGTCAGACGGCTATGAGTTGACCAATTTGGTCGTTCAATTTTTGCCGTCTGCATGGGTACGTAGAACCGACAAAGTCTGTTCTCTGCGACGATTGCACCCGGAGGGGTGTCGCCGGACGCCTTTGTCCATGTTGGGACAGGCGATTTTATAAAATGAGCAACCATACAGCCATTTTAGCCTCTGGTCTTGTTTGAGACCGGTTGTATAGCCACTAAACGTTTTTGTGCTTAGATTTTTAGTCGAAGTATTGAATTTACACTAAGTATCGAACTTAGTTGTTTAAACAAACGAGTCTTTCTGGGTATTACCCAGACGGACAGGCAATTATTTAATCTTACCAGGTATCAAACTTGGTTAGGTAAATGAAAAATCCGTCTGAGTA